CCACTAAGTCAATAGAAATTCCTTTGAAATGATGAGACATTATCACTTTAAGCCTTGAATTCAAGAGGAATGTATGTGGAATAATGCATTTTCAAAGAAACCACTCTCACCAGTCAAGATGCACTCTTAAACAACAATAAACACCTCTGTAGAATATGGAATTGGTCAAAAGAAAAGCTAGGCTAAGATACCTTGAATTGGAAGTAATGATGCATTTCCAAAACCATTGAACATTGAGATCGTCTTTCAAACCATCATTATTCCTCCAAAATAAACTTGCTCCCTTATAAATAAAGACCACATCTGGTGTTTCAAAACACACCAAAACAATCACAAAACTTATTTTTATCATTCTACCTCTTTCACTCAAACACATCACAAATCATCAATTGAAGGTGTTCAAACCTTCATCTTCCCCTATAAACACCAGAATCAGAAAGTCAATTGTCAAAAACTCATATCTTTGACTATTTTTTTTCATTTAACAAGCCATGTCTTGATTCTGTCCATTTTAAAACCACCATGCATTTCAAACACACTATAAATAACATCCGTAAACTGTTCCAACAATATTTTCTCAATTGTAACATCATTTGGCGGAGTTCCCATTTTGGTCATTTTTGACTATTTTGCAAGAAAGAGCTAGTTGTTGTCCAAGAAGTTTTCCTTTTCTTCCAAGCATCTAAGAAGTTTCTTTAAGGTGCATTTGAGGTGTCTAAAGCATTAGTTTACTTATGTAACAAGGATCTTGAAAGTTGGCAAGTGAACTTCAAGAGGTAAGTGCAGTAAAGCTTTGAACCTTGTTAAGAATGCATGATTTTGTTGTACACTGAGTTTGAGCATGTCTTATATGTCATTTATGTTGTGTTTGAACTATGTTTGAGTGCCATTGTTGACTGTGTATAGACTTGAGATTGAACTTGCAAAAATATGTCATTTTAGGTCTTACTATCGTGTTTTGAAATGCAACCATGTTTAGCAAAATCTAAGACCACCATTAGATTCCTTAGGAAGTTCTAGGTGAGATTGATCTTTGTTTCATCCATTTTCATGGAGAAATGAAGGAGTTATGACCTTTAGCTTCATATCTTGGGATTTGAACAAGATACACATAAACTTTTTAGCTTCATCAACTTGGGCTTTGAACAAGATACACAAATACCCTTTTAAGCTTCATCATCTTGGGCTTTGAACAAGATACAAATTCCATCCATAGTTAGGTGGAACTATGAACTCTCTGATTTCTCAATTTTCTTTTAAGAATACATAGGCATAAGATTGCGAGATCTTACCAAGCACACCTTTAAATAAAACCCTGTAGGTCCCCATACCTTTTATGAAACAAAAACAATAAAAATATCTCATATTCTCTTTCTTACCCATAGGTTAAGACTTTCTCAATCAACAGTAAACAACTTGAGTAGATGAAATAGCTGATAGTAAAAAATGTACAAAAGGTTCCTATAGAGTACTATAGATACTCAGGGTGTTAATAGGTTCCATTAGTATAACCAACCCCGATTCCAGATCTCTTTGCATTTGTAGAGAAAACACGTGCACGCAGGATTAGTTTAGATTTCTTCCCCTTCCTTTTAAGCATCACAGTATAAATATTAGAAATTCGAAAGTGACACAAGCACAGTTCACGAGAATCTCACCATCTAAGGATTGGTGGATCCACAGAAAAATGACGACTTCACTAGGGACTGTCCCATCCCCTAAGAGGGTTAAGCCTATTTTGTACTCTTTTTTACTATTACTGTTAATATCATATTATTTTTCATTATTACTGTCAATATTATCGGTTTACTTGCCATACCTTTTTAAATGCATTTATTTTGGGAATGTGATTAATACACATGTGGTAAGGAAAAATTCCTAACTGGAACTCGAGAACATACTTTAAGATAGGAGGTGGTATAATCAAGGAGGCTTATAGGGAGTGAGTCTAGAACAAGCTAACTTGAAAATTTGCCAGCTCAGTGGAGGTACCCTATTGGAATTACTGTTGTTGAGTGAGCAAGTCGTGAATACATTACTTTTTCCATTGGGAACCTGAGAAACTGAGTACTTTAGTAACCCTTCACCCATTTGGCCATTTTATGATGTAGTGCGATAACTATCAGGAATAGTTGATACGCGATACTACACTTAAATGAGATCCATCTTCAGGATATTATAGCTCTCATGAGTTAATCGGTTTGCTGTTATTAACCTAAAGAGGGGTCAGTGATTTTGGGAACCTTGTTAGAACCTGTTTTGCAGATATAAAATGAACCCCTAATATATACCTCTGGGATAGGTAGATCCATGGCTCCATACTCGTGACGATAAACCCTTAAACTCATGTTTGTAAATATCTGTGTTTGTGCATACATGCATTCATAAAAAAATTTCAAAATTTTTTCAAACTTCTCAAAAGAACTAAAAATATGGTTGTTGCAAATACTAGAAACTGTGCTATGGATTTTGGTAGAAGAAAAACTCAAAAGTACATCTTCAGAAGTCTAAAATTGGAAGACCTGAGAAATGATTTATATCTGATACCCTTCTCCACACTAAACGAATGCACTGATACGAGCCAAAGAAATGATTTATATCTTCTTCAATATTAAAACAGAACATACATCCAATTCATGGATGTTGGAAATTACTCACCTGGCTGCAAGGTTTGATCTCATCGGTAATTAACCCGTATAAAATCAGTCTCCAACAAAATAATTTTGCTTTCAAGGGGATTTTTGTTGCCCAGAGAATATCCAGGGAAGTCTTGGGAGCAATCTCTAGATCTATTCTACTACCAGCTAAAACCAGTCCCACATAGCAATTTTTGATAGAAAAAAATTGGCGAGGACATCTTTGCCATATGAAGTTGTCTTCACGACCGTGACATGTCAAAATGCCTTCAAGCAACGCCATAAGATCTGCTAAATTTGTATCTAAACTGCCCACCACGTTTCCCACATTAGGTTTAATGTTGCTAACATCCCACACCCAATCCTCGCCCAACCACGCTCCCATTTCATTGACAACTGCCCACTTCATAGTAGATGCATCAAACAAATCAGAATAAGCACACCTGAGAGGTAATTGTCCTAACCAACAAGAGTTCCACAATGACACAAACCTTCCTACACAAGCTTACACGCAATTTGTCTTGTAAAACCTTCAGCATCCATTACATCTCTCACCCTCATAATATCCCTCCACCACAATGACTCTGAAGTTGACTGCCTATGCTCATTTTGTAACATAACCCTTCTCTTGAGACAACCATATCTGGCCTCAAGCAATGACTTCCAAAGAGCTGAAGGTTCCTTGATAAATCTCCATAGCCACTTTAACAACAATGCAATGTTGAAAACACTTAGGTTTTTTATCCCAATACCACCATGTGACTTTGGCCTACATATGGAAGATCAGCTAACCCAAGAAATACTTGCCTTGTCTTTGAAACCTGGCCAAAAATAATTTCTTTGAATCGCCACCAACAGTTTGACTACTTGTGATGGCATTTTGAAAAAATATAGGTAATGCACAAGGAGGTCAGTCATGACTGAGTTTTTTTTTTGATAATCAGATAAAATTAAAGGAGATTAAGGAAATCTCAAACCATGATACAAATTACAAAAAGTCAAAGGGGAATTTGAACCAATCGTACAGACAACACGGTTTACTCCCCTTCCTACCTAGAATCAACCATTTCCAAGAGTTAAGCTTAATGTCGAAAACAATACTTTCGACCTCAGTAACTACATTATTGAAGAAACAATTATTTCTAGATCTCCAAATAGTCCAGCAAGTAATAAACCAAAGCGAATTAACTCTATTCACTTGACACCTACCTCTAAGGCTCGAGTTCCACACCTTAGCGTGAGAAAAACAAAAAATTTCCGAGATTATATCTATGTCCGCCCATTCACAGATCTTGATCCAAACCTGATTAGATTTATAACAAGAGAAGAAAAGATGGGATACATCCTCCATGCTACTAGAACAAAAAACACAATCCAAATCTTGATCGGATTCAAGCACTCTTCTCTTTAATAAATTAGATCTCGTAGGCAATCTATCAAGCGCCAACCTCCAGCTGAACGTTTGCACTTTTGCCGGAATATCCGTCTTCCAAATGGACTCAATAAGGGAAGCACAATCTGAGCCAACGTCTTGGTCAGATAAGGAGGGATATAGGACAGAATAAAAGGAACTAACCTTGAAAGATTGAGATTCATGGAGACTCCACCGCCATTTGTCGGTTGTACCCGGGTTAACTGAGGTATTTTCCAGCAACTTACAGTAGTCAGACCAATCTGGTTCAGGGGGGTTATCTGAATCCAACAACGAGTTTCTCAAATTCCAATTCCACTGCCCATCCTCCCAGTATCCCATATCACGGACTGACCCTAACTTTAGAGAGCAACTCTGGTACAAATCATTAAATCTGACTTGTAATGGCACCTCACCGATCCAAACAAACAGCCAAAATGCCGCTTCGGAACCTTCACCAACGGAGCATGTCGTGTACTTGCAGAAATTGGCATTAGGATTTAGAGACGCATTGTTCATAATATCCTTCATCCACAACGAATCAGACTTTGAACTCACAATAACGGAATAAGTTTGCGTCTTAATGCTAAGGTTATCGTACCTGAAAGTGAGGGTGTTCCTCCAAATTTCATTGTCGCCAGTTTGAAACCTCCAAAGCCACTTTGCCAACAAAGCGCAGTTGAACCGACCCACATGCTTAATACCCAGACCGCCATCTTCCTTAGATTTACAAACAGTATTCCAAGAGACCCAAGGAATAGAAGATTTGCTCGAGTTTCCAGCCCATAAGAACCGCCGTTGGATCGCTATGATATCCTTCACAACCTTAATAGGAGCCTTGAAAAAAGCCAGATAGTGTATAGGCAGATTTGCAAGAACCGAATTAATAAGGGTTACACGACCCCCCATTGATAAGTTTCTCCCATTCCAGGTGGATAATTTATTCTTCAAATTCAGCAGAACCGGCTTCCAAAAAGAATATCTACGATGGTTACCTCCAACAGGAAAGGAGCGAGAGGGTCGCCCTGCTTCAGACCCCTGCCAGTCCTAAAATCCTTCGACGAACTGCCATTGATGAGAATGGAGACAAAGCTATTGAAAACAGAGCCACGTATCCATTTCATCCACTTTATTCCAAACCCCATCTTAACAAGAAGAGCATCTAAATAGAACCAATCCACACAGTCATAAGCTTTCGCGAAATCTACTTTGAAGAAAAAACAACCCATCTTGGATCTCTTTGCAAAATCAGCCACCTCGTTAGCTAACAGAACACCGTCATAAATCTGTCGTTCTGGGATGAACGCAGTTTGAGAAGGAGAAATAATTTTATGAATAACCTTCCTAAGCTTGGACGCGAGCATCTTTGAGATAACCTTCAGCACACAACTAACAAGAGTAATAGGTCTAAAATCTTCGAAATGTTGTGTATTTTTAGTTTTCGGAACAAGTGAGATGAAAGAAGAAGCGAAGGATTTCGGAAGGTAACCAGTGTTGAAGAATTCCAAGATGCAATTCGAGAAATCTTCGCCCAAAATCTCCCAGCAAGATTTAATAAAAGAGAAGTTAAAGCCATCGGTACCGGGGCATTTGTTTCCGTCACAACTGAAAACAGCAGATCTGACTTCTGCAAGACTGAAGTCAGCTTCCAGGCAGTTCCTGTCTTCCTCAGCTAAACAAACAATATGATCGAAATCGAATGTGAACTTTGGCGATGAATTAGACTTGAATCTCTCCTTAAAATACTTTACGGCTTCACTTTTAATAGCATCAGGTTCTTCCTCTAAACCTACTCCCGTTCTAATAGCAGAAATGCAGTTTGACCGATATCTAGCTCTTAAAGAATCATGGAAAAACTTGGAATTATGATCCCCATCTTGCAGCCACTTTAAACGGGATTTTTGAGCCAGCATGCTTTCTTTAATTCTGAGGTTCTTCCACATCTCCTCCTGAGCTCTCAGCCTATCCTTGTTCAACTCTGCTAAGTTGGAGGAAGAAATCAAGTCAATGTTCATCTCTAACGAATTAAGGTTAGAAACATTCTTTTCTATCTTTAAATCCAGCCATCCAAAGACATTACGGTTCCAGTTCCGGATGTCGCTTTTTAAGACTGAGAATTTCTTTATCAGAATGTTACAGTGAGAACCAGAGACATGGTACGAACACCACGACTTCTTAACGAAAGGGATAAAATCCTTATGAGACAGCCAACAATTGAAGGACCTGAAAGGTTTTGGCCCCCAGTTCACAAAATTCGACTTCAACCACACTGGCATGTGGTCTGAGACATCTCTATCTCCCACCAATTGATTTAACAGAGAGAGCATTGATATTGCAGTATCATCCACCAAGAACCTGTCCAATCTACTTCTGCAGTTTCCGCTGGAGTTGAACCAAGTAAACTTATTCCCAACCGCCGGCAGATCTGTTAAATTCATCTCGGCAATAAACTCTCTAAAAACCTCCATGTCCTTCAAACTGTTAACGCTACTACCTTTTCTTTCCTCCTCATTCATAATCTCGTTAAAATCACCCGCCACGATCCAACCAACTCCTGGTAAATTACTTTTAATTTTAATAAGATCCCTCAATAACTTCCTTTTGTCCACTGAACTGCACGGAGCATAAACGTTAACCACAATAAGGTTTTGATTCTTCCACAGGAATTGGATGCCCAAAAATACCGGCACCGCAGAAGCTAAATAAGGCTGAAACTTCCGTTTTATTCCACAGAGTAATGATTCCTCTAGATCTGCCATTAGAGTTAAGGGCTGACCATTCCACATCTGAGTTCTTCCAAATACTACAAGCTAAACCGTTCTCCATATTCTTTACTTTAGATTCCTGAATAAGACAGATATCAGCATTGCCTCTCTGCAGAGTTTGAGAGTTTCTCCGTCTCTTCAACGAACTACAGCAACCTCTAACGTTGTATGACACTATATTCATAATCCACTAGTAGCTACAACCTTCTTGCCGACTCTTGCAGCACAATCCTCGCTATCCATTTTCCTAAGAGTGTTACCCAGCTCGTTGTCCTCATCGCCATGAATCCCAAGGTCCAACAGGTAATTTCTCAATTTCACTGGAATATCGTCAATCGCCCTTTTACATCGCAAATTAACTCTATCCACATCCGTATAAGTTATTGATTCTCCACCCAAGGGTTCTGAACTAGATTGACGAGAATTAAGTATCCGCACAGACTTATTCCTATCCTCTTTGTCTGGAAACTCCCTCGAAACCGCTGCGAAACGGGTTTCCCTCCCCCCATTAAAAGCATATGCCCCTTCCAAGTTGAGAGCTTTGATTTGAAGGTTTGTATCACCGGATTCCAAAATGCCATCCTCATATGGTTAACTTCCAACATCAGACTAAGGAACTTTAAAGGTAGTGTACCTGTTCAACAAGCCAGAAATTGTGAGGCAGCCTGCATGAATGAATCTTCAATACCCACCCCAAATAAGCTACTTTTCCAGAAATCTATTCTCATCCCTGAAATAATTACGAAACCACACAATATTGTCGTTATTCCCCAAAGATCTAACCATGACCCATCGCTAACAAGTAAGGTATCATCCGTAAACTGAACGAGGCTCACAGATTCATCCTTATTAATTTTAAAGCCTTTAATTTTTTTTCTTCAAATTTGCTCTTTTCACCAGCATTTCCAAGCCTTCAGCAACCAAGGAGAATAAGAAAGGGGTCACCTTGTCTAAGACCCCATGATGCCTTGAAGTTCTTCGTCGTCCCTCAATTCACAATCATTGAAAGAAAACAATTCAAAGCGTTGCCTTGTATCCACTGTAGCCATTTGACACTAAAGTTCATTGTTTTTAAGACTTGTAAAAGGAATTCCCGATCCATGCAATCATATGCACGTGTAAAATCAAATTTGAAGAGTAGACAATTACGCTTCCTTCTTTTAGATAGGTCTATTAATTCATTTGTCAACAAAACCCCATCTAGTAGTTGTCTCCCTAGGATGAAAGTAATTTGAGTGTTTGAGATTAGATAACCTATAACCTTACCTAATCTAGCTGCTAACAGTTTGGAAATCACCTTGTATATGCATCCAACCAAGCTTATAGGCCTACAATCATCTAGCCCAGTAGAGATATCTTTCTTAGGTATAAGAGTAATGAAGGAGGAAGCCATAACTTTTGGCATAGTAGCATATTTATAAAAATGCTGTATAAATTTTGTAACGTCTCTACCCACAATGTTCCAACATCTCTTTAAGAAGTCTAGGTTGAAACCATCAGGACTGGGTCTTTCATTCCCATCACAACTATTAATCACGTCAAAAATATTATCCTTAGTGAAATCCTCAGAGCATCTCATTGTCTTCAGCAGTTAATTTAGGGAAATTTGACATGTTCATAGAAGGTTTAGCACCACCGGGACTCTTGCATTTATCTTCAAAGAATTCTGGAAGATCATTGCTCTATCAAGTTCATCATCTTCTCATTGAAATTACATGGATCCTAAAGGTACGTTTCCGCTTTCCGTTTCATCTTGAATTGAGTATGGTTTGAAAAATTATTGATTATTAGAAATGCCCAACAATTGGTATCAAAGCCACTCATACTTGATTCATGTGTGAATTTTGATAAATTTTTCTATTAGAATTTCAAATTTTCCATATAACTTTACGTTTTAATCGCCACATATAACATTCTATATGTGTAATGTCATACCCTAATTTTTGACCCTAAGATTCCACATCATTTGTATTTCATTAGCATCATACACATGTATAATTTTATGCATCACTGACCTATTTGGATATACAAAGATTGTTGTTTGTTTCATTTGATTACCAATTAGGGTTTCAAGCCTCAAAAGAAACTCAGGCAAATGATCAATCAAGAATGGGCATGATCTTCAACTTACCAATTCCCTTATTCATCCATGAATATCAATAGTTTCCCTTCGTCCATAATTAAGTACAAGATTGCATCATGACAAGCTCATCAAGCATCAAGATTATTAGTGCACCAAAATTAGGGTTTTGACCCAATTCAGTCCCTGGGTTGACTTTTTAAGCAAGGCATGAGCCAATACCTCAAGATAAGTTTCAAAGGACATCAGATGCCTCACGTTAGTCTATTCATATGATCGGATTGATCCAAAGAACTTGATTCATAAGCAATGCAAGGATTCAAATTCATCTGGACCACAAACTGGGATTTTTGATGAAAAGTCAATTGTACCTTTGACTTTTGACGAAGACATGATCTCAAACCTTGGGACATGATTCAAGACATTCAAAAACACCTTTGGAATCCACCCATGATATTCAAATAGACAAAGGGTTCAATTTTAATAAGAGATCACAAAATTCAAATTCACCTAATATAAAAAGTCAACCGTGGTCAAAGTTAAGTTTGACTTTTGGAGTTTTATGTCAAACATGGCCTCTTCAAGTAAAGAATAATGTTAATATGTGATTCGCATCATGATTGATCAAGAAAAATCAAGAAAAGAGAGGTTACTTGTATAGAGGGCAACCATGAAGAAATGAAACATTTTCTAAGTTATGGAAAAAACCCTAATTTGGTGCAACCCAAACCAAGCAACCATTTTCTTTGATCCAAATATCAAATTGAAGAGCTTGTTACAAACTACAACTTTTTCACTTAGGATGGATTCCCAAAAAATGCATAGATTTTGAGATATGAAGCCATGAAGTTAGGGTTTCAAGACTTTTTGAACCTTGACACTTAGAAAATTTTTGGACATAATTTGTTTTATGTTTTAGCCAACTTTGAGGCCATTTTTCTCCATGATCCATAATGATTCAAGGCAGAACTCAAACATCAAAATTGAAGTATGACATCTCAGCTTTCCAAAATGTCCAAGAATACAACCTATGTCCATATGAACAAGGAGATATGAAGTGCATAATATGCCTTGATGCAACTGTTTTGGTAAGGCATATTTGGAATTACATGTGGTGCACAATTTCTTAAGTCCAAGTGTGATGATCATACAATGCTCATTCAACAAGAATCTGAATGAATCATCCAAAACCTACAAGATAGAGCCACTAAGTCAAGATAAATTCCTTTGAAATGATGAGACATTATCACTTTAAGCCTTGAATTCAAGAGGCATTTATGTGGAATAGTGCATTGTCAAAGAAACCACTCTCACCAGTCAAGATGCACTCTTAAACAACAATAAACACCTCTGTAGAATATGGAATTGGTCAAAAGAAGAGCTAAGCTAAGCTACCTTGAATTGGAAGTAATGATGCATTTCCAAAACCATTGAACATTGAACTCTTCTTTCAAATCATCATTATTCCTCCAAAACAAACTTGCTCCCCTATAAATAGAGACCACATCTGATGTTTCAAAACACACCAAAACAATCACAAAACTTATTTTCTCATTCTTCCTCATTCACTTCAAAATATCAAATTTCCAAAGAGTGAGAATCGAATTTTCAAAACCAGAGCTTAAACCACTCAAACACATCACAAATCATCCATTGAAGGTGTTCAAACCTTCATCTCCCCCTATAAACACCAGAATCAGAAAGTCAACTGTCAAAAACTCATATCTGTGACATTTTGTTTCATTTAACAAGCCATGTCTTGATTATGTCCATTTTAAAACCATCCAACATTTCAAGCACACTCTAAATAACATCCTTAAACTATTCCAACAATAGTTTCTCAACTGTAACATCATTTGGTGGAGTTCCCATTTTGGTCATTTTTGACTATTTTGCAAGAAAGAGCTAGTTGTTATCCTAGAAGTTTTCCTCTTGTACCAAGCATCCAAGAAGTTTCTTTAAGGTGCATTTGAGGTGTCCAAAGCATTACTTTACTTATGTAACAAGGATCTTGAAAGTTGGCAAGTGAACTTCAAGAGGTAAGTGCAGTAAAGCTTTGAACCTTGTTAAGAATGCATGATTTTGTTGTACACTGAGTTTGAGCATGTCTTATATGTCATTTATGTTGTGTTTGAACTATGTTTGAGTGCTATTGTTTGCTGTGTATATACTTGAGATAGAACTTGCAAAAACATGTCATTTTAGTTCTTACTATCGTGTTTTGAAATGCAACTATGTTTAGCAAAATCTAAGACCGCTATTAGATTCCTTAGGAAGTTCTAGGTGAGATTGATCTTTGTTTCATCCATTTTCATGGAGAAATGAAAGAGTTATGACCTTTAGCTTCATATCTTGAGATTTGAACAAGATACACATAAACTTTTTAGCTTCATCATCTTGGGCTTTGAACAAGATACATAAATACCCTTTTAAGCTTCATCATCTTGGGCTTTGAACAAGATACAAATTCCATCCATATTTAGGTGAAACTACGAACTCTCTGATTTCTCAATTTTCTTTTGAGAATACATAGGCATAAGATTGTGAGATCTTAGCGAGCACAACTTTAAATAAAACCCCTTAGGTCCCCATACCTTTCATGAAACAAAAACAATAAAAATATCTCATATTCTCTTTCTTACCCATAGGTTAAGACTTTCTCAATCAAAAGTAAACACATTGAGTAGATGAAATAACTGATAGTAAAAAATGTACAAAAGGTTCCTATAGAGTACTATAGATGCTCAGGGTGTTAATATGTTCCCTTAGTATAACCAACCCCCAATTCCAGATCTCTTTACATTTGTAGAGAAAACACTTGTACGCAGGATTAGTTTAGATTTCTTCCCCTTCCTTTTAAGCATCATAGTATAAATATTAGAAATTCGAAAGTGGCACAAGCATAGTTCACGAGAATCTCACCATCTAAGGATTGGTGGGTCCACAGAAAAATGGCGACTTCACTAAGGAATGTCCCATCCTCTAAGAGGGTTAAGCCTATTTTGTACTCTTTTTACTATTACTGTTAATATCATATCATTTTTCATTATTATTGTCAATATTATCTGTTTACTTGCCATACCTATTTAAATGCATTTATTTTG